TAGAGCTTATTCCTTCAAAACTGATATATTTCTAAATAGCAAGCTATAATCCTGACCTGTGCAAGGCTATTTTTGTATTTGTCACAGTCTGGAGTTGGAATCAGCAAATTTAACTTAAAGCCCATTAAGCCCTATGTATATCCACATTTGGATTTTGCAGCATGTGGCTTTTAAACCACAACCTTTTTCTTATCTGTGTCTCCAAAAACAGCAGCAGTACATCAGAAAGAGGTCATCATCATCATCATTTTATATATATATATATATAATTCTCTAACTCACCAATAGCTGAAGCATGCCCAAAGATCTCTGAATGTGTGAGACATATACTTCATTAGAAAAGAAAGGTTTCATACTTTAGTATTAATTATTAATGAAATCATCTGTTTCTTTATTTTTATTAATATGATTTAATGTGATTGCAGGTGCTTTTCAATGTCCTCTAAGGAAGCAAAAATCAGTATTGAACAAAATCACTAGTTTTGGTTGTTTTATTAAATGAAAAGTTGTTGTTTTTTTAAGTCTTGGTTTAAATTTATTTGGTTATACTGCTTCTGGTTTGTTAAATTGCAAAATGTCTATACCTCAACAGATAGCTTTGAAATCAAAAGCTGTTTTGTTGGTCCCCAGATGTATTTCATGCAGGAAACCAGTGATGCAACACAGTGGTAAAGATGCCCCCATCTTAACTTTTTTACATCATGTTCCTGTTAGCAGCTTCAGAACAGCAGATTTTATAGCTGAGCTGTTTTCAGCTTGATTTCGACAAAGTTATGTTTTTCTGGGTTTATTTTATTTAGATTTAGCAGAACATCTTGGATATGATGTTCCTTTTAGAAAGAAACTTGGTCAAGATTTGCACTTAACAAACAGCCCTTTTAAGGTCTAGTCATAGGAAAGGACAGGATGTGAGATGGCAAAAAACATTAATCTTCCTAAAGAGCGTCAAGTGTTTTAATTTATTTCAAAATAAAAAACAATTATGTATCTCTCTCTCTTAACTTCCTCTGATATATTTTTTGTATATGGTTTGTTCTTTATTTCCTTGTCCTGTTCACTATTCAGCATTGTTTTATTAGTCTAAAAGAAAAGTTTGATAGATTTACTTTCACAGTTCCTTCACAACTTTCACTATAGTTCTCCACTTGAAATGGAAAAAAAAGTTTCATTGTACATTATTTAAATGTAATTTAGAAAGAAATCAATTGAAAAGAGTTAAGGCCAAAAGTTAAAAGTGGGAGAAGGAGATAACAATAGAAAAGAGAAGGATGGATAAAGAGACTACAATACTCTACTTCTATATTTGCAGAGAGAGAGAAAGAAAATTAGAACAAAGATAGAGAGTATGACAGGTACAAACAACCAACATGGATGTGATAACGTTGCTGAAAAATACAGAATATTATTTAAAAAAACATGAGTTAGTGACAGCCACAGTTTAATTTAGAGTTATCTGTATCTGCAGACAACAGAATCAAAACATTAAAGATGGCTTCTCACAAATCAGAAATTTTTGCCTGAAGGGCTAGTACCTAAACATTGCAAAAAAAACTTCTTATGCAATTTGGACAGTGTGCTTGAGTCCTTATTAAATTTGGATGCTTTTTCTCCTTTGTAGCTGTCAGCTTTTATTGATGTGCAAAATGCTCTATTAAAAAAAAAAGAAGAAAACTATGAAACCTTGGAGAAAAATACAAGCTTGGGGCTAGAGTAAAAAAGAACAGCTAAATAAATAGTGATCCAAGTATTGGCTTAAAAAGAATCATAATTTTGACCCTGGGCTAAATTGATCAGCTCCGGTTGAGAGGAATCAAAGTCCTGCTGCACAGGTTTAGAATCAGAAACAGAGAAGATCGAAGACCCCAGACATCTAAAGAGCCCCACAGCGTTTGCCAAACCAAAATAGTTTCACAGGGACAGACAGGCAGGGACCGATTAGCTCCGAGGGATAGCCAAAAACCGATATGCACCAAAACCAGTTCAGGGTCAGTCAACATTCATCACACAGTACCAGCAGGAAAACAATGTAGGCTATGCTGTCCCCTATCCTATTCTGTTTCACTTAATAGTTTTTGGTTCTACATAATATACGTATTTAATTGGTTTCCCTTCGATTTTAATAAATTAAAAATATTTCTGTAAAGACACCTGTGCTATCCTCCAGCTCTGCCCCTGCCCCAGAGCATGGGAGCCTAAGAAGAACTAACAAAGGTAAAACTATACACTCAGCATAATGACATATCAGCAGACACTACACACACACACTTACAGTCCCTGTATGGCGTCATTGTTCTGCAAAAAGGCAACAAACACAATATATGTACTCCTATGAGCAGCTTTACTTCATACGGACACTCATTAACTGTCCCTCATGCACATTTTTAACATGTTACATGTATAAATAGAGTACCGCTGGACCCCCACATATGAGTGCTTATTCCTTCTCTGAGCATGTGCGGTTTAATATTCACAAATGCGCAGCCTGCCTCCTCCTCGAGTGTGGACCTGCTTCTGTGCGCTCAAGTCAACTTTTGTAATTTTGAAGGCGTTACTCATGCCTTATTGCTTTAACTGGCTGTGAATCAATGGCTACCCAAGGCTACGGTTGATACACCAGACCTGTCCTCAAAGCGGGCAAAAAGAGGGATGCATTTATCAGCCACATAACGAGGAGTCTTCCAATCCAAAAAAGGCCTCTGTGCCGTAATCAGACCTTCGGACGATGATGCCACTGAATTTAAAATCAGCAATACAGGTCCAGACTCTAGGAGGGGGGAACCTGCCCACGAGTGAATATCAAACCAAACGCTCTCAGAAAAGAACCTGGGGCTCTGTACTACTCTATTTGCATAAGTAACATCTTAAAAATGTGCTTGAGGAAGAGTTAATGAGCATCTGTATGAAGTAAAGCTGCTCATTGGAGTATTTATTGTGTGTGGCAGTACAATGACACCATATCGCATAACCTAGCTCCATACAACAAAGTGCAGGTTCTGATGCCATCCAGTCCATCGCAGGGTAACATAGAGACAAACAACCATTCACACACACACTGACACCTAAGGACAATTTAGAGAAGCCAATTAACCTAACTGTCATGTTTTTGGACTGTGGGAGGAAGCCAGAGAGAACCCACACATGCTCAGGGAGAACATGCAAACTCCATGCAAAAAGACCTCAGGCCAGGAATCAAACCCAAAACCTTCTTGCTGCAAGGCAGCAGTGCTACCCAGTGTGCCACTGAGCAGCAGTCACCCAAGACCCATGAGGTGCCATGTACCATGTGGTACCATTACCTAGTTATAGAAAACTAAAGGTGTAACTCAAATGTGAGCAGTTGCTGTCAAGCTCTGCAGTGATCAGATGGTTTGGTTTATAGCCCCATAAATTCTGATCATGTACTGAGTCTTTAGGTCATTTTCTCATAAATCTTTACAGTTTCTCTATTGATTAACCGACACCTGCAGAACAATAGTAAATATATGAACGAAAAAATGCTGGTTATTCCATTGGACAATGAAAACATTACCATGTCACACAAATCCACCAAACAGGAGAGGCAATCCATCACTTTTATCCTTAAGTAATGCAGGTTCTGAACAGCAGATATAACACTCCTCACACACAGCAAACTGATTTTGGTGAAGCAATGAGGTGGAATGTTAGCAACAAACACTATAAGAACAGAGCTCTCAGGAACTTAAAAATGTCTGCTTCAACAGTACATTTTCTTCAAAGAATTAACTGCCTGGAACAACATTCCCACTGATCTCATCCAAGCTCAAAAGCTCCACTGAAGCATAGACTATTCTTTTTTTCTACAGCAGCAAGCAAATGCAAACAGAGATACAATGCAAATGTACTCAGTGACAATGCTGATGAAGATCATTAATGGCACAATCTACTTCAGAAGAATTTGTATATGTATTCATTAACAAGCAGATCTAACACAAAAAATATATATGTGCTCTATCAAAGAGATTTTGTACATCAAGGGAAACAACCTGAAGGCTAATTTCCACTATTTTACAATTACACAAAGCAAAACTTGCAGATGCATAAAAAATTAACTACGCTGTCAAACTAAATCTAATGACTGTAATGGTTTTCAATTTAATCAGCTTAAAACTTCCATATTACTATATACCTTGGAGGATGAAAGCAGTCCAACTGTGTACCTAATAAGGCTTTTTAATGTTTTCCTCTTATCAGAGAATAAGGGTATTATAAGGGTGGCTAGGCAATAACCAATGTACACTGAGGGGTGGCTGAAAGTTAATAGGCGCCAGAACCTCAGGGTCAATCTACAACAGGAAAATTAATGGGCACAACATCCATATTTTATAAACAAAGACAAACTATACTTTCCTAAAACCTTTGCTGACAAATAGATGCATAAATATCTAAACATATGTGTTTTCTACATAAAAGATATAGTGGATACAATTCTTTAAGGTTTGAGTTCTGGGGCAGACATCTTTTCCATTGTCATTACTTACCTACTTTTATCAATAATCATTCTGGATAAAATTGATATTTACAAGTACTAATATCTACATAAATTGATTATTTAATACATTTTATTAAAATAGTTATTTATCAGTAATTTTACTGAAGACTCTTAGATGACCTGTAGAGACACATAATTTTCTGTTTACTCCATAAAACACTGAATCTATTTCTGAAAAGAGCATAAATTCTGTACTTCATCATCTTTAAAGTTAGTATATTGATGTGCATAATTAACCACATTGTTTTTGTTGTCAAGTAATCGTTAATATATGAAAACTTTGAATGTTCTGAATATTCCATTTTAGAGTATTACTGCGGACACCATCAGTATTGGAGGAAAAAAATAGTATGGGTGGCCAATGATTGGCTAAGGGTGGCCATGGCCACCCCTGCTCCCCCATCTAGCTCCGCCCCTGCCTCTTATTCCTACTTTATATCAACTTGTCAATAGATCAAACAGAATAAGAGATCTAAGTTTGTAGACTCACTTTTGTAGCTGGTGCTCCAAGGCTGGTATCCATAGTAGCCTGTAATCCTCAGTATCCTTTCCTCTATGGACGCACTGTTGATGTCCTCCACTGAGCGAGACGATTTGAGGTCCTCCTTGATGGCCTCGTCCACCACCAGGTACTTAAGCTGTCGGAGCTGAGGACTGATGTCTGAAAGCCTTCTGGGGCTCAAGTCGGGGGATTTTCGCATCCCGCTAAGAAGAGAGAACAAATAGGGGTTGTAGTGTTATTGCACCGATTGAGGCTGTTTGGTTTAGGTAAAGGAAAGCATATCAATCTTGACCTGCTGAAATAGGAGGTTGGACCAGGGAGGCTGGTGTTGCGTGTCCCACTGATATCCGCGTCCAGAGCCCCTGCAGCGCTTCTTTTGTACCGTAGAGAAAGCATCATCATCATCCTCTTTCAGTGGTCTGCACAGTGTTTGAATGACACTTAACTAAATTGACTAGATCTGCAATTGTATACTATGCACTGTGCATCTATGAAGCTAATGAATTGACCATGACTGATGTGCAGAGATGCAGGAGAAACAGTGGCGTTTCTAGACCAAATGTGCCAGGGGGCCAGGAGGGGGCCAGCGTGTTTTCATGGGGGCACAGAAAAGCATGAAATAAAAAAACAGGGCAAGGGATTTAAATATATCAACATATGTGCATGAAGGGAAATTTCTATTAATTAGATTTTATTGAAAAAAAAGGTCTTTTTAGGTCAATAAACATTCATAATTTAGGAATTTTATATATTTTTGACTTAATTTAAGTTAAATTACAGTTTTCTATAAAATCTGATTTAGAACTCAATTTTTTTTTATTTTGTAAAAAAAAAAAAACATTTAGCAGAAGAAAACTGGGATCCTATCTCAATACCACTAAAGCTATCACCTTATTGTTTTTAAATAATTAGTAAAACTGAATTTGTAAAGAAAAAAATGAACTGGATACCTAACTGTAACCATGTCTGTTCCAGCGCATATTATCATTAGAATAATATGTCAGTACAGGGGCCAGGAAATGAACTATGGGCTCCCGTTGGCCCCTGTCTAGAACCGCCCATGAGGAGAAACTCCAGTGAGCGTCCAGTTCACATTGGACCACAGCTGTGCGCACTAGGGCGCACTGGTCCATCCGGGGTTATAGGCCTGCTGGTATGCAGCAAAGCAAATAAAAACCTACTTAATGAGCCAGCAGGAGAAAATAAAGAGGGGGAGTAAGGATCAGCATTGACCAGCCAGTCTTTAAGCTGTTATAAAACCATAGTTATGTGTAAACAATGCAGCATTTACAAACCCGTCCAGGAATTATATGATAAAATGTTAATATGACTTAACATTAATTAAATATATAAGTGCCTATAAGCAGCAACAGCCACATATAAAGTAAAATGCGCTGTAAAGCAGCTGAGCGCACAAAAAGTCAACTTCCTATGCAGACAGGGGAAATCAGGAGCGCAACAGGTTCTCCTTTTTAGGCTACCCCCATGCGGCTATTTCAAAAGTTGAAATGTCTTACATTGGCAAAAGAGTGGTAGGAGGTCCAAGGTAACACATGCAGTCGCGGTGGGGCCGTCCGACCCGGTCCCACACAGTACCCTCTATGTCGCCGTACATTCTCAGGAGGTGCGGGAGACGCAAAGAGCGCACTACTGCAGATAACCTGCAACCTTATCCAGAATGGAGGAAACAGACAAAGGTACCATCGTCCGTCTCCTGTTCATCTCCATGAAAATAATCCTGACCACTCCAGCGCGGTCTGTAGTGCAACTCTAACTGGGTGCGCGCTTTTCTGGATGCTGCTGCTGCGCGCTCTGACTCTGTGGCAGCATCACCTGCTGGAAAAGCCTGGGAAATGAGCCTGTTTTATTGGAGAGATCTACTCCTTCTCCATTTGAGCATCCTTCTCATTTTCAAGTAGATGAATCCAGAAATTATTATAACATTGCACTTATCATGCACATGCAGCATTACTTAGAGCTTAATATTTAATATCATTGGAGTGTATCCGCTTGTACATGATGTAAATATTTGGTCCATGAATATTTAAGGTAAAATACAAAAGGATTTTACTCATGAAGTGTGTAATGTGTAAAAGCCTCAAAATAAAACCATAATTTACATCTCAAGCAAGTCTTATTCTACTTTTTTTTAGATAAAATCAATGAAAAGTTAAATACAGACACTCAGGGTAGGTCCTTAAAAGAAAATGAACTGAATAAATAATTCTTTTTGTAGCTCAGCACTGCAAAAAATGAACTAAAAATGAGTAAAGATGTCTTAAAAAAGAATATTTATCCTTAATTTGAGTAGGTAAATAAGATTACCTGCGGATGGAATTAATATTTTTACTCTTAAAATAAGACAATTAGAAATAATGTACTTGTGTAGTCGTTATTTTCTTATTTTAGATCTAATCTGTCTTATTCCATTGGTAAGGTGTTTCCCTGAACTGCTCAATTCAAGAAAAAAAGCAAAATTGACTTAGATTAGTTAAGAATTAGCTTGCCTACATTTAATCATCAAATAGAGAAAAAAGAACAGATTGTTTTGTATCAAATCGGCTTCGTAACTATTTTCTACAATAGAAATTTTGATTTTTAAAAAACAGCTTTAAATTATAGCTTCTTCACTGTTTTAAGTTGATTTCAATTTAAAGAAATTAAGAATATAATAATTCATGATTATATGAATTCCTAAAGGAATCAGTATTTCTTAAATTGCTGAGTCCAGAGAACTCAGATTCATTCTTTTGCAATGAACCAGCTTAGTTATCAAACTTTTTCCAAAAAGAAGAGCCTCGGGGGTTCTCTGTTCATTCCCAGCCTGTATCATCTCAGAAGCCCAGCAGTATTTCAGCAAAACAAGAGGCTTGATCATTTTTTGTTGTTTTATTATTTTCTATTTTTATCAACCCTTGCAGAATCTGAGGAAGAAGAACACTTTTTATCCAGTGCAACAGAAACAAAGACAATAGTGCTGACTGATTACCTCTAATCAGAGCTGCTACTGTAGGAATGGAGCCGTTTTTTTCCAGCAAGAAAATAAATACTTGTCCTTTCATCTCTTGTCATATCAGTTGTGCAACAATAACAATATGTTTATTGTGTCCTGTTGTTTTTACATTTAGATTTTTCCCTTGCTTCCCTTAAGGTATTAATCCTAAATGTAATATACATTTTATTCTCACTTTATTGAGACTGATAGGTTTAGCAAAGGTTCTATTTATTTTTTAGATAAAGCTGAAAAACATGCATTAAAAGGTTATGTTGGAACCAAACTTTACCTTACATGAACTGAGGTCTGTTGTCCATAGTTCCCCGCTCTGTGGTCCTCTCCCTGCATTGCTGCTGTCTGAGCTCCTGACTGCAGAGCTGTGACTCTATTTAGGAGACAGGTTACGCATTGATCAATGGTCAGCTCCATGGGGGTTAAGGTATATTAGGTGAAGGATGGATGTGTGTGGGTGTGTGTGTGTTAGGGTGAGCACTGCTTACTCAAGTGAAAAAGTGATGGCTAGTCATCAATAAGTTGGCCCACACCTCACATTGGCACCTGTTGGGAGGAGAGGCTCACTTTCCTCTTGAGTAATGCTGCTCCTCAATTTCACAGCTTGGCTTAAATCAAATTGATTCCCCCAGTTAAGGTTTTCCTTTCTGCCTACCTAAATTCCAGATTGAACTGTGCCTCGCCTTTCAGAGACTTTCGGCTCATACAGATCAAAACAATTATTCTAAAGGAGTGCTCATGCATTCAAGTCACCCACTACCATCCAACTCACCATGCCTCAGTTCAGCAGACATCACATGATCTAATTTGGACCCTCAGACTACAGGGTATCAATTCCTTTCTAAATATGGATAAAAGATTAAACTACAACCAAAGCTGAGGGCCAAAAAAAGATACAATAAAAGGATGAAGCAAAATTAACTAGTTGGACTACAATAATGCTTTACAATCTGTGCTCTTTGTATTCACCTGATGGACTCCCAATTTGATGCAGTTCAGTAGTTAGGGTTCCACATCTACATTTTTTTTCCCAATAATGAGATCCATCTCTGGTCTATGTGACTCCAAGAAGAGACAGAAATACCCTTCCTCATGGCTGAATTCCTGACTCAAGCATCAGCAAGTTTCATCCTCTCTAAGTCTAAACCATGCATTTACAGAAAGACACTGTAAATGGATACTGTAGACTGATCAAGTGTTTAATTATGTCAGAGGTCAGGCAATTTTCCATCCTGAGTGGTTGTTCCATCCTCTGCATTACTTTCAGTTATCATAGTCTTTTTGATTGCTTCCCTAAATTGGAAAAATTATTTTCTCACAAAGGTTTCGTCGTGGTTTTTCCTTTTTATTTTTAAAAGATGAAAAAAGGTTTTGTTTTAAACTTCCCTGCATCTTTATTTTAGATCTTTTTTGTATGTTCCATAATATGTTATGATACAAGTCCTGATGCATCTTGAATAATTTAGGGTGTGGGGGTTGGGGGTTATTTGAGTAAACATGGCTGAATAGAAGCACAAGTTGAATTTTTCAGGTTTCTATTTGAAAAATATTTAAAAACCTTCACTATCACACACTACGTTGTGTTGGTTTATCGAAAATCCTTCAAAAATATGAGGAAGTTTCAATGTTGTGATTATATTATGACAAAACTGGGCAGGAAATATCCAAGGGTAGTTAGACTTTTACAAGGCAATCAACTTTTTGCTAAATAATGGGTTTACCCTTCAAACTGGGAGAACACTTATTTAATCTGGATTCTTTATATATATATGTATTTCTTTATATATATAAAGAAATATATATATATATATATGTATATATATATATATATATATATATATATATATATAGCAACTGGATAGCTCGGTAGGTAACACCGACGACCGGCACAGGTGACCTGGGTTCGATTCCCGGCATGGACATCCAGGTGGACCCTTAGGCAAGGTCCTTTGTGCTTAGTGGCCTACCTCAGGCATGAGTGAAACCGCAAATACAAGAGCCATACCGGCTCGGATGTTGCTAGGGAACCAGGGCAACTTGATGACAAATTGGCTACTGGAACAAGACATAGATGGACTAGAGCAGAAAACTTGGTACTGATGAAATGCTACTATACAAGCGTCCCCAGTGAGAGAGGTTACATGCAGAGACTATGGGAATTATGGCAGCTCCAACAACCATTGTCATCATTGACAAAGAAACAACTACTAACTCAGTGTTCTAACATCCGCAAACGGCAGCTCCTATCACAGCTAGAAATTGACGAGGTACAACTGACATGCTGCGGCAAGGGGGGGTCAGGACAACAGGTCAGTAGGGAAATATCATCAACCCAACACATAGAGACTGGATCCCCAGCCCCAACAACAACAAGGCCACTAAACGTAAGGGCAGCCGACCTGCGACAGCAGATCATAACGAAACTGGATCCCCTCGTACGACGACCAAGACTGCCAAGGCTAAGTGACAGAGTACCCTCTGAAAGTCTTCTAGAAGATGTAAATGCAGCACTACATACTATCCCTACTAAAGATATAACTGAGACCAATGAGCTGACCTATGCCACAGCTACAGTGATCCTAGAGATGCTTGGCTATAAGATAAACACCACAGGCCACAAAGCAGAGCCCCCATGGAGAAGAAGGCTGGAAGAGAGCAACACGAAGAGAGGTTAGTCAGCTCTCTCTGTAGGGAAGAGGTTACCTAAGTACAACAAGCTGTCGATTCCTGAGGCTCTGGAAACTGCCAAACAAAGACTCGCCGCCCTGGCCACCCGCCTAAAGAGATACAAGGGAGAAGCAGAAGCCAGGAGAATAAACCAGGTGTTCTCCACCAACCCATCCAAAGTGTACTCACAGTGGCAGGGTAATTCAAGATCAGATCCACCCAGGGCTGAGACTGAACAGTACTGGAGAAACATATGGGAGAAGGAGGCATCCCACAACACCAATGCTCAGTGGCTAGAAGATCTAAGAACAGATCACAGCAATCTCCCAGAACAAGAACCAGTAACCGTTACAATGGCAGATGTCCAAGAAAGAGTGGCAGGTATGAAGAGCTGGACAGCACCAGGCCCTGACATGATCCACACCTACTGGCTGAAAAAACTAACCGCACTTCATGCACGCCTCGCAGCACAAATGAACCAACTGCTGATGGATGGGACCCACCCAGAATGGTTAACCCAAGGACGGACAATCCTGATCATGAAGGATCTGCAGAAGGGAACAACCCCATCCAACTACCGGCCAATAACTTGCCTATGTACAACATGGAAGCTCCTGTCAGGCATCATAGCTGCTAAGATGAATAGGCACATGGCTCAATACATGCACCCTTCCCAGAAGGGAATAGGCAGCAACACCAGAGGAGCCAAACACCAGCTACTAGTGGATAGAGCAGTCACCCGAGACTGTAAGACCAGGCAGACAAATCTGTGCACTGCCTGGATTGACTATAAGAAAGCCTATGACTCAATGCCACATACATGGATACTGGAATGCCTGGAAATGTACAAGATCAACAGGACTCTAATAGCCTTCATCAAGAACTCAATGAAGCTGTGGAAAACAAGTCTGGAAGCCAATGCAAAGCCAATAGCACAAGTCACCATCAAGTGCGGCATATACCAGGGTGATGCACTATCCCCGCTGCTGTTCTGCATAGGCCTGAACCCCCTCAGCCAGATCATCACAAAGACTGGCTACGGATACCAATTCCGAAGCGGAACAATCATCAGTCACCTCCTCTACATGGATGACATCAA